TGAACTTAGCAGCAGAAATAAGGAAGATAGCATGCTCGGGTGTGATCTTATTGTTGAGCACAAGTTCCCAAACCAAACCGGACTTCCTCGGGTTATGCTTGAAATGACTCACATAACGAAGAGTCTGCGCGAGCTTTTCCAATGCCTCACCCTGGAAAGTGGGGTCGAAGAAGCAAGTATAGGTGACGATACCATTGGCGAACGAGTCCACGTAGAATCTCTTGGGTTCAACGTTATGAGAACGGAAGCATTCGTTGATCTCAGAGATGTAAGCTCGGCCCGTACGATCAACATCGAAGGCAGCAAACTGCAACACTTGAGCGCCGGACTTCTGAACCAAGTCGGCAGGAGCATCGAACACCTTAACAACAGTATTGCGGGTAGCCATAGTCTCATCAATAAGATCCTGGTAGAGCTTCTGTACTTCAACAGACCTCTCTTCGAGGAACTTCGGAGTGGCAACGAGCTGAAGGTCGCTCTTATCCATCATGTTCTCGAACTTAACACCCGACTCGAACTGTTGCTTGTCGACAACAAAGACGCCGAGAGGGAATTTCCCTTCGGCCATGGGAGCCTTCTCAGACTTGAGGAAGGTGATAGTGTAACCACAGTCCTTAGCAGTATTGATATACTCAGCAACCTTAGCATCAGTGATGGCAATCTTCTCAGGCTCCATAGTGGTGAGATAGAAAGCCGAATCCGCTTCCTCAATCTCGAAGTGGATATAGTCAGACTTGGTAGCCTGAGCGACCTTCTTAGCAGCGATAAGGCAATGGATATGCCTGGCGATCTCAGCACTGGTAAAATGCTTGAAGTAGCTGGGATGAAGACCAAGCTCAGTGAAGTAGTAGACGATCTCCTGCCAGAGAGAACCAGCAGCGAGGACACCTTCCTTCATAATAATAGAAAAGACCTGAGTCATCTTGGTTTCCAAATCCTCAGGAGTCAGAGAGATATTGGTGTTCTTCACTTGCTCCTTCAAAGCCTCCTCCTTCTCAGGGGAAAGATAACACATGGCATCATCACACTTGAGGTCGAGTTGACCGAGCACCTCCTTGATGTCGCTATGATGGTTTACCACAGCATCGTGGATAGGAAGCATACCGAAGCGATCAGTCTTGAGCTGAGCCCCCTCACCCAACAAGTATTGGACAGCATCCATGTGACCACCAGCAGCAGCTAAATGAAGAGGAGTTCTCTTATCATAGTCTTGAACATTAACGGATAGACCGGAGTTGCTGGCCATAAGCTCCTTCATGCGATTCATATCGCCCTGATAAGCAGCCTCGAGAAATGAGGAAACAACACTTGTAGTCGGTGAGTCCATACTAGTGATCTTATAAAAATAGAAACTGCAAAAGACAATATGATACGATATGATGTGATGTGTTACCATTGTCGTACAACTGATAGTGTTATAGGTCTCTACGATCAAGGTACTGGAAGCGCCGCCCTAAGCCTAGCGTCGCAGCCGACTAGCTCTCTCCCGCTGTGGGCGTCTTTCAGCTGCAGCTAGATGCTCTCTTGCACAATGTAGGATATGGCTGTCTTCGTCTATTAGTGCGTCAATATCGTCTGATGATCCCTCGAGTCACTGTCGAGGCAAAAGGACCGTTGTTTGTTAGTTAGCGTCAATTCGTCATGTACGTCTCCTCAGTGCTCCCTTTTAAAGTTATCTCTTAGTTCTTTTATAACTCGCAATAATGTAACAACGCGGGGATCGTTCGAGACCGAATCATTTGCAAGATAGTTCAAAACCGGGTTTTGAAAACCCTACGGAGGGTTTAACACAGACATTGATATCACTTGTTATCCAGTATACACCGAACCCACCGCATGAACATGAACCGGCTGAGATCATCTGCCCTATTAAATTCAAAAGAATATCGTATCGGCGTCGCACGAATTTCCAGAGAGTTTCCGAGGCAGGAATTTGAGGGACTCCAGTTCAAGGACTTCCCACGACTTACCGTACGCAAATTTCCACTCCCCTAAGATAAGGTGAGAGTCATCACTTGAGTAAGAGTCATCAGCTGGATAAAAGCCATCACTTGGACAAGAGTCATCACCTGGATAAGAGCCATCGGGTTTCGGGTTTCCCGTCGGGTTTCAGGATCAAGACTTGGCCAACTCAATTCTCTCCTGCTACAAGGACTTCTCACGACGTGCCGTACGCAAGTGCATAACTTGGCGAACGCCCAATAATTGACAAAAGTGCCAAAGAGAAGTTGCAATAATTTGAGGCGAAAAAGTGTTTCAGAGGCGGCAAAGCAGTTTTCGGAGCGGCGGGGGCAGTTTAGAGCGGTACAGCAGGCTTATACCAAATTTAAAGGGTCAGTCAAATTGCATGAAAATTGCAATTAACGCTTTACTGATACTTTCAAAGGCTCCATTTGAAACTATCAGTTGAATGAAATAGCATGAAACTTGTCACGCTCGCCTGGATAAAAGCCATCACCTGGATAAGAGCCATCCGGTTTTGGGTTTCCATTCGGATGTAGCATCCGACTGGAACTAGTGCCAGATGCCGAGCGACAGGGTGAGTCTCCTGTCGGACTTCTGTCCTGACACTTCAAACTTTAACTGACGGTTTGAAACCGTCGGTATCAGAGATAAAAAATCTCTGAAAAACACGAGAATGGATGACCCAATGAATCTTTCTTATCAGTAGAGTCAATATAAGGTTTGCGTACAGGTATCGAATCCTTGGTGGAGAGAGCAACTCAACTAGCCTCAGAGGCTAAGCCTGTCAAAAGCAACGATAGCCTGTTGATAGGGTATCCGATCTCGGACTCACAAAAGGTCTCCCATCGCCCTGGTTTGGAAAAGATGAAAGCACTAGTAGGCTCAAGGACTTTCTCGGCAAACACCAGAACTCGTCGCGAATCGTGAGCGACGAGATATCGGCCTCTGGAGCGGCACAGAGATTGCGGGACTCGAGTTGTGATATTATTCACCTGTCGTGCAGCAGTTGACGCAATAAGAGCGCCCTCATAGGGCTCGATCTGAAAGGCTCTCTCCCCCGGCTCCATCAAGAGACACACCTCTGTGACCCATACAGACACTTGACCAGGGCATCTCTTTAGGGATGATGAGTGAAATTCAGATCTCGTTCATCGTATTCCCCCAAGAATGTCCTCACGCAAATACGCTTGTCGGGATGATGGGTTGGCCTGAAAATGACTCTCAAGGACTGGAGATTTCCAGCGAGATGTGAAGTCACACGGGAGTTCTTTGGGGAGCCACGACGTTAAACGCAGGTCCAGTCTTCAGGGCCAGGAGCCGGTGGCTGAGGAGAGCATTAGTAATGCTGCATTACTTCCTCCTTTTGACTAAATGGCCGTGCTGCCCCTACACGGCACAAGCTCTCGAACTAGGTTCTGTTACAACAGGGTGATGAGCTCGTCTCTGAGCGTATTCACCCTCTGGTCGCCTCTGTTGAAGATCACTCCGTGACTTGTGCCTCGATGGCCGGCCCGTGCCGATCGTTCTAACTGAAATTGATTATCCTTCGTTGCGAAATCGACTATTCTGTGATTGAGTGGGGAATATTGCAAGTCCGAACGCGCCATCAGAGGTTCTACCAGCGAAACCGATTGTCCCAGTTAAGCGAACCTGAGCTTATTTCTCTTGTCGAACTTGAGAACCTCATGGCAAAGCTGGAATTTTCAGCAGCGAAGTAGGTAAAAAATGTGCGCAGACAGTAGCATACTTAGAGCCGCGAGCAAGTTTCATGCGGAGAGTTGTGCGATAGAGTCTTGAACTCTGTGTAAGAGATGAGCTTTTCTGCCTGAAACTTTCGGGTTCGATCACAGCTTGAGCATGACCTATAGTAGCCTAATCTACCCACCATAGTCACTGACCACATCTGCGACACGCGATAATGACCAGTGCGGCCTACTGTATCCAGGACTGTGAGACACAGCGGACAGATAGACTCTAACAGACATGTAATATCTGCGTGTACTTTTTAACATCAAAATCGATATTTCATCACTCGAATCTCTATCATATCCGAATAAAAAATCTCGCACTATTTATCAACGATACCTCGGTCACTCACTGTACTCATAATCATGTTTCATAACGCTACAGAGTCCGCTCACCCTCGAGAGTTATCCCCCTCCATGCAGCAGTCATATCGCTCAGCCTACAACTTAACACGACATCATAATCAGACTAGTCAGATCGGCGAAGTTAAGTAACACACTATACAAGCGAGCTTTAGTTGATAGTATACCCGTTAAGACATGCGGGAGGAAAAACTCTTTGTAGCGTTAAGAAAAACATTCGGCAGATACCGATGTACGGTGCCTTATATAGCTAGTGTATAGAAAGTTAGTAAATTACATAGTGGAAGGGGTAACTTCACCTTCGGACTTTTCCTCAAGTGAACGCATGAACTGGAAGAAGGCGAACTCACTAGTCTGTAGACCATTAGAGTAGACAAACTCGTCAGCAATCCAAGTGGCAACCATAGCATTGAGATAAGCCTCGGGAGTGTTCTCGACAATCTTATCCAAACCACAATGAACAAGAAGCAACCTCGGCACACAACGTCTGAGAACAGCACGAACCATCCAATCATTCTCAGGATCATGTTCCTCGAGGACGCCAAGGATATAAGACTGCATGTCGTTGATCTTCTTCGACAATAAGATGGTTGCATCAGTCTTACGAATATACCTCGATCCATCAGGATACTTCACCTCATGGTTAGTCTTCCAGATGCCATTGAACTCCATCTTGGCATTATGACGGACAGCGGCAAGAATCTCCTGAACGTATTGTTCGTAGAACTCACGAGGAGCACTGGTCTCATCACGAGAACACAGAACTTGTCATGATCAGCCGTGTCCATGCAAGAGCGGCGACACTTCCATACTGCTGGAAGTACACCACCCTTGTTGGTGGA